GCAACACACAAACAAACCAATGAGTCCACACTACATACAACTATTACACCTGGAACCTCCTCTAATAATTTCAGGATAAATAACAGCTTGTCTCATTCTAATATCTATGCTACACTATCGTAAAATATCATCAAAATCTATCAAGTAATTTTTGATCAAAACAACAAACATACACAGTCACAAACGTTCCAGTTTATTAGTAACAATAAAAGAAATAATTTTAAGATATATTTAATATTCCCAACCAAGGCTACATTCATGTATCAGCGAACACCGACCTACTCATTTAGGCTCAATATTTAACGCACCAACTTAAGACATTTGTAATTTCCTTAGACGGGTTCGAAAGTTTTATTAAAACTCATTCGCTTTCCAACGGCCTCAGCTTTACGATTTATCGGTAATTTTAAACTCGATTCGTATGAAAATTAACAGAAATTATATATTTTAGGTAAGTACTTAATAAAAAGTTGGCGCAACATTCTCACGAGAATCGTGAATCATATTTTAGTATAGCAACTTTATTCAAATCCATATATATAAGTCAGTAGTGGCCTAGTGGTTAAAAAGCCCGACTCCCAAGCATGAGGGCCCGGGTTTGATCCTGACAAGTACCAACGTGATTGTCCCGAGTCACATTTACTTTCTAAGAGTATTTAGATATCACTGATTAATGCATTCCCAAAGAGGTTTAATGTCAGGCAGGCGGCCGTTCGTAAAAACCATTAGCCAAAACTATTCACAACATGTAAGACAGACCCTGGCTAAAACTGGGAAATTGCCAGGTAAAAGATAAATATATTCTCATAATGTTGTATCTTATTAAGTTACCCAAGCCTGGTCTTGATAATACCCAACAAGCACTTTCACTTTCTCGATACAATCTTAGCTTGGGTTTTTGCAATGCTATTAAAATAACGTCCTTATATACATGAATATATAATATTGTTTATTTATTACGAGATGAGACTGATATAATATTGTTAATATTAAATATTATATACAGATATATAATATTAATATTAGATTTTTATTCTTATCGCTTTATTTTTATTATACATATTATTGAATGATATATAAATAATTTATCAGTTGATAACCTCGAATGTGTTGAGTAACTAATAAAATATAAAATAGTTAACCAATTATATAAATAATTTACAAAAAATCTAGTTCGGTAACCATGTTCGTGAGTTTGTGTAAAAGACTTGGAAAATTTTAAGAAAAAACAAGGTTAAAGCTGTTTTGATTCTATGAGGTAAAATCAGTAAGGTCATTGACCTTTAGATAAATTAAAATTATTTAATTCATCGAATAAATATGGTGTGGTGATAAAGGGCTTTAGAATTTTGATATACAGAAATTATGGTGACCATATTTCGATGGCGCCATATTCGATCGATTTCGCTTACCACAAGTCTATAGTCAAACTACATAATGCAAAGTTTCTTGTTTTTTATTCATAAATCAATTGATACCAAATATTATGTAAAAATTTGTATGTTAAATATTTTGCGAACACCCCATATGACAAACTCGAGGAAAAAAAACGGAATTCCTAGTAGAAGTCTTTTATTATAATGGAACTAAAACTATGAGTTTCTAGGTTTCTCAAACTTGAAACTTCGTATAAAATATTCAAATAAATATGAATATTACGGCTACATACAGAGATGAAACTTCTCATCATTCAATATGTTCACCATGTTGGTTCCGGGTCCATCATTGTATTGAGAGGAGCTTCAACAGTGACTGGGACTTGTGACCCAGGTGTAGGTTTATGTTATGTATTTAAAACATAGTCATAGATTGTATTGACTTAGTTTAAATATGAATAAAGAAATATTTAATATGTTTAATACTTAAATGCTTATTAAATAATATTAATATTAAAGTGTTGACCACATTAACAGTGTATACTTGGTGACTTCAAAAATCTTTTTTATAAGTTCAGTACTGAAATGGTTTCCATAAAACTTTATATGTATAATGAGTAGGCACAAAATCTACACTTATATTAAATTAATCATACAATCTTGCATTTAAATTATGACCATATGTTTAAATTCAAGAAATGTTGGGTACTATATATGTAAAATCATAAGGAACCTACAATACATACATACATACATACATACATACATACATACATACATACATACATACATATATATACATATATATATATAATATTATACACTCAGGTGAATGGCCGTCCAATATATGATGATACATATAAAAAAAGTTCATTCAACTTTTGATAGACACTAAGTCTTACAATACAACACTATCAGCAAAAAATATATATAATTATAAATATACTTTATCATACATAATAATGTATAGTGATATTTTTAGTTCTATCATTTACAAGCATCAATATATATAATATATAATACTACGTAAACTATATGTCTATGTGTTTATAAAAATATTGTTTTGAATTTGACAGTAGTCTGAATATTTAATTTAATGTAAAAAAGCCTACAACCAAGAAAAGAGATCAATAAGGGTAAGTAATTAAAAATGAATCAGGTATGTCAATTAAATAATATCAAGAAAATTGATGGAATATTATCCCGACCCTTCAAATGGACTTTGTAGCAAATAAACATTTAAGGAGATATTTTTGTTTTTTTTTTACCTATATACCTTTAGGTATATATTATGGGTTCAGTAATAGATTGTGGCGTACTAATCCATAGCATTAGGTCTTCCCGACTAATAGTTTTAAATATACAGGGTGACTGGTGAATTACTATCAATATTTAAGGAGAATACTCGGTACATGATTCTCATTCGAATTATGTAAAAAAAATAGGCACTTAATTTTTGACCAAATTTCCGTATAAATAAATAAAGTGTTGACACGTTCCAAGTGTTCCAAGTGTGGACGCGTGCGGCGGCGTGCTGATACAACACCACGCCGCTGCACGCGTATGTGTGAGTGTGTGTGTATACCTAATCTGTAGGGTGTTCACACGATGCGTAATTAATTACATATGTAACTTTTGGTTAACTTTACTTAGAGGTTTATTAATATTTATGTTATATTAATTTTTAATTTGTCATATATGATCGTCAAATATCACGTCCTCAAGTATCGATAGTAATTCACCAGTCACCCTGTATATATATACCCATATATTTTTATATCTTATACATCTATATTGTAATAAATTGAAATAGTTACTTATCTTACACTAATATATGCTTCTGAATAAATAAATTAACCTCATTTAAAAATACAAAGCTGTTTTTCTGTGAATAAATATATATCTATTCAGTAATGAACTACAAAATTTTATGGAATTTTTCCTGTGAATTATCTTAAAGCAATTTTAATACATGAAACTTCATTTTCTAAGGAGTTTTATTATAAATATATTCTATCTGTGCTATGTCACAGTTATAATAAATTTTAATCTGATTACAGATTATCAAACATGATGTAATTTTAGTAACCTGACTGATTACTGAAAAAAACATTGTTATTACAAAGAAATTAATAAATAATATAATAAATTAATACTCTTAGTACTTAATAATTAAAATATTTTTGTCTTTTTTCTGTTTACTTCTACTGCATCTTTCAGTTTTTATGATTTATATAAAATAGAAATGTTTTTAATTTTTCTTCAAAAACATATAGTCAAAGACAAGATAATTTTTTAAATTGTAATCTTGTCAGAAATTTTGCTTCATAATGTATGTATTATGAACGACCACTCAATTAATAGACATCCACGGACAAAAATAACATATAAAGAACAAAAAACTAAAGATTCTTATTGAATATTTACTGAAACTAACTTTCAAATATATTTTATATACATACTGGTTTATTTAGGATTAATATAAATATAGGTACAAGATATACAAACTCCTTAGTCAAATATTATAATATCCAATATGATTCTTATTTGAATTCTCCAAATGAATCATCAAAGATCATATGAACAATATCTCCAAATTAAAATGCAACCGTGTCACCAAAAAGTTTTAATATAAACAGTTTTTATACAATTAATATGTAATTATTGTTTTCATATATTAAAAATGATTCATATGTATATGTTACAAGGTTATTCAACATACAATACTTTATATTCATGAGCTTTTTAACATAGTGACATATATTTTTAATGTAACTGAATATTTGATAATCGACATTATGGTGAGTTATATATTGATTGATTATATATTAAAATTGTATATTGATTACTCATTTTTAATAAGTTTTTATAAGAGTTTACATATATGTATTGTAAATTTTCCATCTAATAGTTATGATGTTGTAAAGAAAACAAAGAAAAATTAATTTAAGATGAATCTTATTTGTCTCATATTAGAAATATGAGAATTTAGAAATACTTATTGGATTAATGTATAAGAATCAAACATTTTATTAAACTTTTCATTTTTAATACAAAAGAAAATATAGTCTTTAGTTAATATGAGGTAAGCATAATTAAATTAAGAGTAACTGGTATAGCTGTAAAACAATATATTGAAGTATAGAGATTTAATTTTGCTTATATGATGATTAACTTTATTTGTGTTTGGAATGAATTTGACATAAAAAAATTGTTAATACAATTTTTTTTTACTATAGCACCGATAATTATTATAATAATAGTAAAATACTCTTTCATTATATGAAATCGTAACATTTTGATGGTTTTCGAGTTATATGTAATAAGATGAAATTTTTATACGTCGTATATTTATTAAGACACTAGACATTTGACAATTGCATCAAATTAGCTATTTTAAACGCATTTTGTCAAAATGATTCGAACAAACACACACTTGCACATGTTAGTTACACATAATACAATTGTTATTGACCTTGCTCGCAGGAACATCTACGAGGTCGTTTAGGGTTCAAAAAATAGAAAATTAAACAATAATACGCAGATTAGGCTGTGACGTCTTGTTATCAAACATGACTTAGAAGCTGGAACACAGCCAGCTCTGTAAGAAAACAAAGAACTCACCCGATGTGAACTGAGAATTTCTCCTTACCGCAATCCGTCCCACTGATACGAAACTAAGTCGAACGCTACTCATTGTCGAATTTGTTCAAGTTCCAATCCACTTATTCACATTAGCGATGTACTCGACAGGTACGTTAAACGAGCGAAATAGAAATGCAACCGATGTTTGCCGTAATCTCTAGTTAGCAATTTTATTGTATTTGTTTGTCAGTGAGAGGCATATTCTGTCATGACGCAACACTTTTAGTCAACATCAACACCGATTGAGTTTATAGATGTAAAACAATATTTTTATACACTGCGACCACTAAAACTCCAAGATTATCTTTTTTATTGTATGATTATATCAAAAACAATTTGATTATGTGGATATTTGAATGGCCATACTGCTCTTCACAGCTGATTTTGATGTGTGAAAATTGGAATTTTTTGAGCACCACGTTGTTTCGACGCATATGCCATCTATGAAATAAACGTCCAATGTATTTTGTTTTTAACTGTTTTATCGACTTATAATAGTTTATATGTATTGAAATACCTAGATGTCGTATCAGCGAAGATATTCATTGTTTATAACTTTTTCGTCTTTAACTCATGTAAGATTTATTCTAAATGACTTAAATTTAATTTTTACTTGTTTGTCATGGTTTCTAATGCTTATCTTTTAACAGCAACAATGAAAACGCCTGATTCTATAACAAATTGTAGATAAAAATTTTGTTTCGTTTTGAGACTAATAGCATTCAGCTTACCGTTTTGTATTTTTAGCCTTGGATTTCTGAATAATTACAAAATTCTTAGGAGCTAAGTACTACACAACAATTTGACTTATATACATATTTTCTTTTTTGACAGACACTTTGAAACGTCTGTAAAAATAATTTTTAGTCTGTCGCCCGACGATATAAATTTCGTCATCTGTGTTCATTATTGTGAATTGTCCAAAATGGCTGAGACAGAAACCGATAATAACAGTATTATAAGACCTGAAAGAAATAATAAAAATATAGTGTCTAATAATGGGCCCCGTCGCGTTACCATATATAAAACCGAGACTGGTTTCGGTTTTAACGTCCGCGGCCAAGTTTCTGAGGGCGGACAGCTGAGATCGATTAATGGGGAACTTTATGCCCCTCTGCAACATGTTAGTGCTGTATTAGAACAGGGAGCGGCTGAACAGGCCGGTATTAGAAAAGGAGATAGAATACTCGAGGTGTAAGTACTTGAGGCAGTCAGTTATTCAACTTGCTACAGTTAAAAATATATATTAATTCTTAGTTCAATAATGCTCATAATTACTTTTGTTTTTCGACCCAACAACGCCGGGAATGATATTTTTTTTCCAAGTTTATTTCCTCGTTTAAACTTGTTTTTTGTTATGCATTATATTGTGCAGTTACTTATCGAGTGAACCAGCATAATGAATTCCATTGTGTTGAGTAATCATTAAAATTTACGTAGTTCTTTTGTAAATATTTATCTTTAAATGATATCAATGCTGAAATATCGAAAATCTTAATGCATATATCATGACATAAATTTAATTTATTCAATTCATATCTCTTTGCTTACTCATTTGTACATAATGACTATATGAAACCTAACATCTTTTTATCATAAAGGCAATATATAAATATACCTATGTACATTTTCCTATATTTAAGTGTTAAGTTCTTATTTGATTTTTATAATTAATATTTAACTAACATATAATAAAATTAATTAACAAGGAATCTTAGTATTTAATTTATTTTTTGACATCACCATAAACAGTCAGTTTACTTAAAATAACCTTTTTATTCATTAGTATACAATATCTGTAAAAATACTTACATTTAAAAGGCTTCTTTTATTAAGACAAAGAACCTAATTACATAAAGATATATATTAAACATTTTATATACACTTCTTTGTGGCAATTTCCTAGCTTTAGCCAGGATCTGCCTTACATGTTGTGAATAGTTTTGGCTAATTGTTTTAACGACTGGCCGCCTGCCTAACATCAACCCACTTTGGAAAAAAGATGTTTATACACTCTTAGGACTTTTTATTTTCCCATATAAAATATTACAAAGAAATCAATTTAGACAAGATACTGACTTCAACAGTTTTGGGATAAATCAATGTTTATAAAACATATAAATTTATTAAGCCAAGTAAATAAAATAAGTTAGAAAAAAAAGTAAATAAAATAATTTAAAGTAAGAAAGTGAACTTGATAAATTAAAACTGTTGCTATTCAGTTATGAAATATAAGGCTTTTTTTATTTTATAAAATATATTAAGTCTGTAAAACTATAAAGAAATATAATACATAAGCAATTACATAAATATTAAGTTAAATATTTTTTTTAAAGAATCAAAAATATTGTTGTTTATGGTCACATAAATAAATTACTAAACCCATAGAATACACCGAAAATGGTTATCTTTATTTCCTGTAACAATACATTAAAAAATATGTCTTCCTGGTAATATGATACATTCATATGAAAAAAAATTGTATAACTCATAATTAAATTATTAATTTTATATGTATGATGAATAAATATAATTATTAATTACTACCTACAATATATATAAAAAATATCCTTTAATATATAGAATTCAATATAATATAAAATGAGATACATCATACAATCATAAAATTTAGTTCAATGGGTCATTATTATTAATATGTAATTGTCAAGAGCAAAACGATTGTGGGGACCGAGTAAAATGTATTTATATTGAACATTCAGTCTACTGACCTGCTTCCTTATCAATTGTGATACAATCCCATCGATTGTAACAAATCTAATTAAGTTACAAATTAATTATATATTATTTTTAACATATTTAAGTTAAAATAGTCTTGATGAAATGAAAATAAATGATGATGTCCTTGTTTAAAGACAGAAACTTAATTCTTTTTATCCTCAATGATGTTTAAATCTATATATATCTTTTTGTTGGAAATAAAATTGTCGGAAACCATGTAAATATTATGAGATGTGCCCGTGACTTTGTCGGCTGATAATTTATTTTTTGATTATATATATCAGTAAAAGCAACTAAATAGTAAAATGTGTTGTTGTTTATTATATGTATAAGCATCTGAGTTTCCCTTAAATGTGGATCAGACAATGTCAGAGATTATATGAAATAACCAGACAGACATACACTTAAATTTAATTGGTTATTCTAACATTACCAATACCTGCTCCAATATTATTAATTTGTATATAGAATGATATTGAAAATTTAATATCAGTTTTATATTTGTTATATGAGTGTTTCATTTGCTTAAAACATAATTAGAAAATGATGTAAAACATTATTTTAAATCTTCTGCAATACAAACTGCCTCACTCTTAGTCGTCAAATTAACTCGATATAGGTATGTATTTAAAATTGTCATTTGTATGTTAATTTAAAATGTATGCAAATTTTCATACATTTCGGTAATTGTCAATTTACCTATAACAAAAGGAAGAGAAAGTAGTACACAATCTAAAGAACAATGCTAAAATAATTTTAAAATTACAATTTACGAAAAGAAATTACATGACCCGCGTTTAAAATTGTAATGTCAACATAATATCCGTTTCCCGTAATAATTATGTTTAATAATCCAATGCCGTTATTAATTAGTTCAATCCGTAATAGTACCCTGTAGATAAGGTTACAACTGCGTCGCAATTTAATATTTCTATTGACAAATCAAAGACGTTCATATTAGACGCTATTATTAAGGAATTCTTTGTATAATCGCATCGAGTCAGTTGACGCTACCGGATGTTTGGTTAATCGTTGTGTGTTTTGTTTTAATATTGTTTGAACGATGCGTTGAAGTGTTTCTGTTGTGTTGTATTGTGTTTAAATGTTTTATATATAACGATGGCTGTGAGGAGTGTTCGAGTTGGAGATTTCCGTTTTCGTTATTATTATTGTCATAATACTGGTTTTGAGATTTATGATTTGGAATCGCCGGTGCAAGGTCTTGGCGGTAAAAAGTAATCGAATGCGTATTGTATAACTAAATCATATATGGATTCACATATTATTATATGCGTTCGTTTTACTTATAAACTTATAAATGAAAAACTAAATAAGTAACTATTAAACTCGAAAATCGAAATTAAATTTTTCTAGTCTGAAACATTTTGTGAAATCATATTTTCCTATATCTTAAGTATTTACCATCGTCAATACTAAAAAAGAATTTATTTTATTATGGCGCTATTATAAATAGGAGATAAACTTTATTGAAATTGAGTAATTATATAAGGGAACAAATTAGTAATTGAAGTAATAGTTATAACTTATAATGTATAGATAACTTTTGTTACATAACTTGTAAATACAATATTTCTTCCCGCCATTTTGCTCATATTCGAATGTTTCAAATGTGAGTCTTCGCCGCCCGTGTGTTTTACTTAATTATTTTTATATGTAATAGTATTATAATGTTATATTACAGTAACGGTGTGAACGTAGAAGGCTCCACTCACAAGCAAGTCGTTGATTTAATCAAATCTGGAGGCGACTGTCTTACACTCACCGTCATCTCCGTTACACCCAAGGTAAATATTATTCAATTATTTACAACCTGAAATCAAATAAAGTAGAACTCAAATAACAATAAAATAAATACGTCGCAATTGACTATTAATAAACAATCAAGGCAATCGTATAATCTCATTAAGCATTAAGCTAATGATCGTAACACAAGCATGTTGATGCCACAATGAAATATGTAGTTTTGTACTATAATAGTAAATTGTAGTCCAATTCCCAGTAGTAAAACACAATAACTGAAAAACCGATAATTTCGTTGATGATAATATAAAACCAACGTATTTAGTCATTGATTTGAGAATTTATGTCAACTGCATTAAATACCTATAGAATTTTGATTTTGATATATTGAATTGGTTATAAATTTGTTAATATATCGTAACTAATGCAAATTTATTATTTTATATGGTTATTTAGTACGATATCTTTATCTATATTAGTTTTGCCTACGAAATGTCGAGTCTAACATCACGTATACATTATACTATTTCAGGAGGCCGAGCGTTTGGAGCCTTCAGATGATTCAGCGCCAGTGGGTGTGATAGGGGGCGCCGCTAACTCCAGGGCTACAGTCTACCAGAGATATGACTACACAGACAAGAGGTCGCTACCCGTCTCTATACCTGACTACAGAGTGGTTATGGAGAGGAACACGGGCAGGTCTTATGTAGCATTCAATGTACACATGGCCGGCAGACATCTGTGTAGCAGACGGTATAGAGAGTTTGCAGCGCTTCATCAACAACTCAGGAAGGAGTTTCTTGGTATGTGAAGAATATTATGTATATGTATATGGACTAGCTGCGCCCCGCAGTGTTACCCGCGGATTTCCGGGATGTAAAGTAGCCTATGTGTTATTCCTGGACGTCAGCTTCCTGTATACAAAACGTTATCAAAATCGGTTCAGCCGTTTGAGCGTGAAGAAGTAACAAACATACACACACTCACAAACTTTCGCAATTATAATATTAGTAGGATTTAAATCAGTAGCTTAATAAGATAGGGTTAATATAACATATTAGTTTCACCTTAGCGTTAATGATTTATAACTAAGGGAGCTTTCAAGTATTACGTGACGCAATTTTCTTAGATTTTTGACCTCCCTTCAAACCCTTGTAACGCATCGTAACGTTTTCTGTACACCCCCCCCCCCCCTTCTCAAAACGTAAAATAACACTCAAGTGATACTTTTCATCCTAAAGACGTAAAAAATCATGTAATAGTTTGGTATACATTTAATCTACTAAATGAAACAAGATCACTGATATAAATCTCCCTCTTTTGAAGTAATTATAGTTTTAACACTATGAACTCGTAGATAAACACTAACGCATACTGACCACGGAACCAACATTAATGACGTACAATGCAATCAGCGTATTCCCCGTAAAATATAATTTAAGAGGTTTGCAAACTTGCGAGAACAAATGAAAAATATCGACCAGACTAATACCCCCTCCCGCCCGTGTAACGCATCGTAACGTTTTACGAGACCCTCCCCCCCCCCCAAATTGCGTTACGTGATACTTGAACGCTCCCTAAGAATAAAATAAATATAATTGAATGTATACAAAGTATAAATACTACTAGATATAATATGTACTATAACAGATAAGTGTTGTGTTTATATACAAGTCTTTTTCCAGGTTTCAACTTTCCCAAGCTCCCCGGCAAGTGGCCCTTCACACTCAGCGAGCAACAACTGGATGGCAGGAGACGAGGGTTGGAACAGTACTTAGAGAAGGTATTTAGGGAATAGAATTACTAATATATATTATTTCTATGAGAGAGGTGGCAAACGAGCAGACAGCCTACTTAATAGGCAGTAGTCACCATCGCCCATGGACATAAGCTATATAAGACATGTTGCGGATGCGTTGCCGACCTTGATTGTTGGGAACGAGAGAGAGATTTGAACGGTTTTTCATTGATTTTGAACAGTTCAGAATAGGAAAGGACAACCGTCCCTTTCACTCGTTGAACGAAAAAGAAGCCATTAAAAACTATTTTATTTCGATCTTCTGTGAAAGGTTGTACTTCCCTGGAAGAGCCAGCCTATGTTCAAACTGAAGTTACTTGACCACAGCTAATCTCTAAAAACTACAAGAATATGTAAACCAGATTAAGTTTCAATCAACAATATTGAAAATGATTTTAACAACAATTTTGGCTTCAACCTATATATCATGAAGTAATGGGTTCAAAACATGCTTTATAAAATATTCTTAAAGATAACAGTTTTATTTATTGTACCATACACTAAAATATAAATCAAATTTCTTATTTATGTCTAAACTAGCTTTCCGTCCGCAGCTTCGCCCGCGTGGAGTTCGGTTATATCGCGTTTCCAAGAGAACCTTTCAAAAGCCTGAGATAAAAACTATCCTATGTTCTTTCTCAAGGTCAACTCTATCTCTGTACCAAATTTCATTAAAATCAGTTCAGTGGTTTAACCGTGAAAGTGTAACAGACAGACAGATAGAGTTACTTTCGCATTTATAATATTAGTAGGGACTATATTTGAGAAATTTGAAATTAACATTTTCTGTAAGAAATGTAAATCTATTTAAATATGTTTTTGCGGTCAATTAAGCACCAATATAACATGAACTATACCACCAATCATCAAATTCCTAATCAAAGCTCAATACATTCCAGGTGTGTGCAATCCGTGTTATAGCTGAGAGCGACGCTGTCCAAGAGTTCCTCACAGACTGTGACGACTCCTGCAACCCGTCACCCGTAGAACTAAAGGTTTTGTTACCAGACAGAGAGGTTGTCACTGTGGCTGTGTTGAAATCAACCAACGCTGACGACGTGTACCGAGCAGTCTGTGATAAGATAGGACTGGCTAAAAACATACAGAAATACTTCTATCTGTTTGAAATTGTTGAATATAACTTCGGTGAGTGATTGTATAATATACTATTCCCATAAAGGGTTGATGTCAGGCAGGCGCCCGGTCGTAAAAACGATTAGCCAAAACTGTTCATAATATTTAAGGCAGACCCTGGCTATAGCCGGAAAATTGCTAGGTAAAAGAAGAAGACAATGGTATAATATACTGATATTAATGATAATAAAATATATTGTTAGTTGTTACTGGTTTTATAGGCTGGAGTTATGATATAACATATATATATTTTTAAAAAAAGTATGCAATTGTATGCAATGATATATTTCATTTGTTAATAATAATGATTATTAAGATATTTGTGTGAATATATACATATGTCTGACACATTCAATTTGAGGATATTAACATTTCGTCTGCCCGTGATCAGTTGCTGCAAAGTAACCGAAACCGAGTATGTAGATAAAATAATAAAATAGACTTAATAATCCGAATAATATTACTAATATTTAAATATACATCTCATTATATATAATAATGTTCCAGAACGTAAACTCCAGCCAAACGAGTGTCCCCACTCGCTGTACATACAGAACTACTCGACGGCCTCCTCGTCCTGTTTGTGTGTCCGCAAGTGGCTCTTCAGACCCGACACCGAGCTCGAGCTACTAGCAGACGACACCGCAGCCGCCTTTATATTCTGGCAGGTCTGAAGGGCACACACACATGCATATATACTAACAAGTATGAAGGGCCCACAACATACATATACTGACCTGTCTTACACATAGTAAAATTAGAACAGACTTTCCCAAAGATAATGTTCCCTAGTGAACTCTGCAGGCTTGTAGAGGGCCAGTAAGAGATAGCCAAAAATTAGGGCGTTATGTAGACAATGGGGGTGATTTGTAATTTCATTTAGCTAGGATATAAGTAATAAAAGTTATTTAGAAAATAAGGAAATGTCGATGCTGAACGATAATTTATTCACAAATTGGCGGCAAATAAACTGAGTTTGCGAAGTCCCGATTTATAATAATATAGATAGAAAAGTTCACATACACTAGTGATATTTATACCTGGGACCTCTTTAAATTATCGTAGTTATACATAATAATTAGTGTTGCAGAACCATTGATACTTTGGCTCTCGATAGTTGACCTCGAAAACCATTCAGAATATTGATAGATTATAGTAACTATCGGATTTGCCATCATTATCGATAGCCTACCTATAGTGGACTATCGATATACAACACTAATAAATAGTTAATCTATATAAGAAATAAAAAACACTTATTAGTAATTAATTAATACTTGTATTTTAGGTTACATCAAAATTAGTCCATTTCCCCATAAAAACAGTAGTGGAAACTTAACTGGCATAAGTGTCAGAATATAATTATTATATCAAGTTGTAATATACGATATGCTGTATGTTTCCCTAATCTATATATCTATATTCTATATATTCTATATATATATATATAAAAGAAAGTCGTGTTAGTGACTGCACTTATAACTCAATAATGGCTGAACCGATTTAGCTGAAAATTGGCAGGGAGGTAGTTTAGAGCCAGGAAATTCCAATAGGATACTTTTTATCCCGTTCGACAGCATTCCCGTGGGATTTGACATGAAACGTCAGTCACTATAAAACGTGGAATAACGAAACACAATTGACAGATATGCAATTGACGTATAATGACAGATATGTTATTTAGTACATATTTGCGGGATAAATTTGGAAAATAATTGTTTTTCACATGGGCAGTTATAGTTTGTGTGTTCACGAGTTAGGAAACCATCCGCTTTATTTGTGTTAACGTTAGACCAAAAAACAAAAAATGTGGTTTACAAAGGAGCACTTCAATGAAACGGATAATTTGCGGACACGTATAACGCTTTGATTCGGTATCTACTTTTTATTCACTTTCATTTACTTAGAGGAGTTCAACTAAATAACACTTCATTTTTGTAATCGAAATGGATTCATTACTGTTATGAAATGAAATAAATATTTTCCTTTTCAAATATAAAACAAAAAAAAAATCATATTTTAATCACCAAACGAAATGTTACATAAAACAAAGCCTTCTGGAGGCGAAACGGAGTTCGCCAGGTTCACTAGTAATAAATAAATAAATATCGTTTCCAGGCAGTAGAAGATGTCAATCGCGGCGTGTGTTCAGCCGGCGCCCGTCTCTATCAGTTAAAGGCTCTACAAGATGTGAGGCGCGCCCGGGATTACCTAGCATTGGCACGAACGCTCCCCGGATATGGAGATATAGCCTTCCCGCCCGCCCGGACTGACTGCCGCGCCGCGCCCGCCCTAGCGGTCACAATCGGTAAACACATAATAATCATACAACACTACATTAACATATGTATGTTCATAGATCCTGCGAAAATCACCTCTCACAATCGGCTTGAGCTCAGATAAATATATAGATTGGGAAATCCCAATCATGGTAGCAGCAACTTTTTTGGCATAAAGATTGAGTTGATATATTCTAGTATTAGTATCTATCATACAATTATCGATTAGTGATTAAAATTAAGACAGACGACACTTCTTAGAATTCAATGTTCATATTAAAATAATGTTAATATGTAACTGTCAAAAAATAGACAGAATTTATTAAATATTTAGGTATTGTTTTGGATCAACAATTGAATTTCAAAGTTCACATCGAAGCGGTTTCGGGGAGAATTCGTAAATTTATATATACACATAGTAAGATATTTGCGAGATTTAGCTAGTTTAGAAACCCTACGAAAAATACACTACGCCCTATGTCAATCAATTTTGAGTTACTGTATCAGCTGTTGGGGTTGCGTTTCTAAATCCTCCATGCTAATTTTAGAAAGGGCCCAACGTTCCGTCCTAAAAGTACTCGTGGATCTCGTTTATAAAGAAAGTGAAGTAATCAGTGTTCGTAAATTATTTATCCAAAAAATAACTCTCTCTGTTCATAAAGCTATTGTCAACTCTAATGAATATTCTAATATGTTGAGGCGTCGTATTTTTAAAGTACCAGTATCAACCGTTAACTCGTCCTTTGCACGATGTTTCAATCCTTTTAATTGCCACTTTGTATATAATAATTACATAGCTTATGTGACATAAAACGTTGCACTTTAAATGAAGCTAAAAAGGTTCTCCATAATTGGCTAATTTCATTGTCTTATGGAAATACAGAAAAAATTCTTATCATACAGTCGTGATCTCAGATTCATGATAATTATATTTAAATCTTGTATATTTACTTTATTATATATATATTTTGTTATCGTAATAATAATTACTATATATTTATGTTATTCCATTATATTTACTTGTTTTTGTATCTTTTTCTTTCTATATTTAAGATTTAATACTTTTGAGCCATTTGTAACATCTTTATAAAGAACACGCCATCTACCGTAGGTGAAACTTGTTATAGTTAATCGTAAATAAGGCATCCACGACACAAAACAAGCTCGCTTATTGTGGACGCCCCTGGAAATCGCGCCATGTTATCACTTCAGCAAAATATTGTTATGTTTGTAATTGTATTCCCTGTTAACATTGAGTTATTGCTGGTAATGAAGTATTTTCAAGTCAAGTCAATATATTCACGGTGCGTGTGTCGGGACCATCGTTGTAGTGAGAGGAGCTTCAACAGTGACTGGGACTTGCGACCCAGGTGTAGGTTTAAGGCTCATATCTAACGCGCGTTATACACACCTCCAACGTCCAAGCTCCTCTCTATCTGAATAGGGAATTAGCAGGAAACGGAGGGAATAGGGAAAAGGCAACTAGCTCTCTCACTCATCGGACGAAATGCAGCCAGTAAAGGATATTTCACGCCGATCTTCTGTGAGAGGGTGGTACTTCCCTGGTCGAGCCAGCTCATATTCGAGCTGTAGTGATTGAACTATAGCTAGGTTCTACCATGTTACCTGACCCAATGTTTCGTGCACTTAACTCAAATGATCTTATCCTCGCTTTATCTTTTGACAGCAAATAAAACGTGTGTGTATGTGTGTGTGTGTGTGTATGTGTGTATGAGTGTATGTACCTCACCTTCAACATCTCAACATCAGTAACTTGACCAAAGCTAGGTTCTATCACCTTGAATAATTCAGTGATTCATATATATCCTAATGCTAGTATGTATATATTATATATTCCAGGTTGGGAGGGTATAAAGCTGTGTACATGGAGCGAGTCGTCCGCGTGCGAGGGAGGCGCGGTGTGTGTGCCCTGGACGGACGTGAGGGAGTGGCGCGCCGATGACGACGGGGCCGCCGCCAGGATCGTGTACAGGAGGAGGGACCGACCGCCCAGGACTGTGGCGCTGCACTCACCATATGTGAGTACACACGGACAGACAGACACACACGCAGACACATATACGCGAATACACAGACAAAGAGACAGACACACACACATGCACAAATACACACACACACACACACACACACACACAAACACCATATGAGAGGGGGAAAAATAACGAGTGATATAGTTCGAAATTCAACATAAAAGGAATAATTTCATCATCATATAATACATTATATATGTTGCCATAAAAATTTTTTTTCTTCTTCTTCTACCTGGCAATTTCCCAACATTAGCCAAGGTCGGTTTAAAGGATTTTTTTTACTCATAAGAACATACAGTCCAATTAAAATGAGATACAAAATTTAAAGATATAATACAGTGCAATATTATCTTGAGTGTTAGAAGTTATAAAGTAACTACATATTTTTTTAACATACTTTTAAGAAGTTAGTATTTTCGCATTCTTTAATAGCAGTTGGTAATTTATTGAACAACTGAACTCCTTTAAGCAATACAGTTTTTTTGCCATAATTACATAGTTCGTACTCTAATGAATTCAAGTTTGTTTTTATTCCTAGTATATATTTATGTTAGTTTGAATTGAGTTAGTGGTAATATTTCTTATTAGGATGCATGTGTAGTATAAATGTATATAGGTAGTTGTCTAATGTTTAGTAATTTAGATTTTTCGTAGGTGATTTTTGTAGGAGTGAGGTGATTATAATGAAATATTTTTTTATTATTTTATTTTGGACTCTTATGAGTGAATTTAAATTAGAAGTAGCTGCAGAGCCACATATCTCAATTAGGTATTCTAAATGAGATTTGACTAGCGAGTTATAAGAGTTCGCACTTTGACTGGGATACAATTTGATACTGTCTTTAAAGCTCCTAGTAGCGATGTTAATTTGTTTCAAGGTGCTCAATGTGTAATTTCAAAGGTTTTCATCTACCCTTACTCCAAGATATTTTTCGTTTGTCGATCGTTTTATTATTTGGTTGTTTATTTTTAGAGGTGAGAAGTCCGGTATTTTTTTATTTTTAGTTGTAAAAATCATAAGAGGTTTTTAACGTGTTAATTGTTAGAAGGTTGTATTTTAGCCACTAGTTAAATAGATCGAGGTCATGTTGAGCGTTATTAATGATGTTAATCGATTTGTCGAAATAAAAGAGCACGGTGTCGTCTGCATATAATTGTAAGTGTCCTGTTAGGCCTATTTTGTTTATATTATTGATGTAAATTAAAAATAGAGTTGCGCTTAATATTGAGCCTTGAGGTCAGCCGAAAAATACACTTTTTACTGAACTAAAAAACGTATCTCTCGATATATATTAGGTCTGCCTTACATGTTGTGAATAGTTTTGGCTTATTATTTTTACGACCGGCCGCCTGCCGGATATCGACCCTTTTTGGGAATGCATTAATCAATGATGTGTAAATGCTCTTGGAAAGTACATATAACTCGAATAAATCACATTGATACTTGCCAGGATCGAACCCGCGCCCTTGAGCATGAGAGGCGGGCCTTTTAACCAATAGGCCACCAATGACTTAGTCATTAAAAACTACCGTCAGCCAAAACTATTGATTTTTGTTGATTTTTTTAAGTACAAACTACTGAACTGATTTTGATTAAATTTTCTTGTAACTTAACTTATATATCAGAGTAACACATGAACTATAATTTATCCCAGATATCCAAGTGCTTCCAATATCTATTATATTAAAACACTTATGTCTACCATAACCCAAATATAATCGTAGACAAGGTCGCATTAAAATGCTAGTAATTAATAATGTTTGTTAATTACAGTACCAGTTCCTCATAAACTGTATCGACCGGATATCCGAGGAGGCGAGCTGGGTGGATACCGGTGAATAATTATCACCGGGACTAGCGGCCCTGTGACGTCACATCCGCCGTCTGAAGGTCTTCGAGTTCATGCAGCACCCGACACGATACACGTAGCTCGAGAGACGGTCATTTATAAGTTAGCTGTGATAGATTAATGTTTGAAACAAACCGATCAGACTATGCAAGGCGCCGGCCCGTTATGTTAGTACTTATATATTTTATATGATGCATTATTGTAATCAGTTTATATCTTTATCGTAATAGTTATAAGAGCTAATTTCGATTGAATTGACAGTTTTTTATCACTATGACGTCACCCGTCAGAATTTTTTTTATATACAATGCTTTAAAGACTTATTTGATCCGATGATGTATTTTTTTTTAAACTTAAAATAAGGTTATATATAAAATATTAATTATTAATAGCTCTCATATTATTGAATCGTAGAGAAATATATTTATAGTCCTTAATAATATGACATTTCCTTTAAAATATATCATTACTTATAAGGTAGGGATACATTTATTATAACTAATGATGAAATGGTTATGGAGTTAATATATTTCCTCGTGCTTTGTATGAACCTGTTTGATAATTTTGATATGAAATAATTTCTATTTGTTATATATGAATGATTTTAATCATACAATTTAAGGTGTAATAATGCTTGTATGTTCTTCATTGAATTGTATGTAAGAGATTAAATCAATACCTCCCACGTAAATTGTTGTATCTCCAAAATTGTAAATTTACAGTAAGGTATTTCAAAGATTCAAATTAAACGAAAACCTGCAAATTTGAAAATTACAAGATTGGTATGCATCTGACAAATCCTTTAAAAATAGTTTTTCTGTTGGTTTTTTACTTTGAATGGATATAATGATCCATAATAGTATATTTTTCCGAAAAAAAGTTAAATAGCATTTTTGTTGCATACAACAACTTATGTGGGAGGTATAGAAATATATATGTAGGTAATATTGTTATGTTTAATTTATTGGCATTTATATGAGAAACCATGACATGTAATGTACATTATATATTATAATATGTTATGTATTTTTATTTCCAAATTTAATAATAATCTCAGAATATTCTTAGTTCATAAATGAAATGATTTGTCATACTTCCTATTCTTATAATTTTCATTGTTTCATTGTAAGTGTTGAAGCATTCATATATAGTGTATGTACTCAGTATTATAATTGATGTAATTTGGTTTTATTAATTTACATATACTAAATACAAGCAAAGCTACTATATATATGTATGTTAATAACATATATTTGTTATTTAAGTTAATAATGTGCTTGGGTTTAGAATGTTTTATATGGGATTCAGTATTTATTAGTTCAAATATATATTGTGATTTTATTAATATTAATGTTTATACATAGTTAAGTTTCTTGACATGTACTTATTGAATGTTTTTCTGTGGCCATATTCAGTTATTTCCATTTAGTGCAATACCTATAAGGCACCGTTGTTGGTTACAACATATATATTAAATGTTGATTGTATGTAGTTATGTCTTTGGAGAATGAAGTGGACGATACACTAGTTTAACACGCGGCTCTGTCTGAAATATATTGTTTTTATTATTGATTCATTTTATTATATTATATATTAGTATGATGACTACATACAGAGGTCACAAAATACTAATATTTCATTTCTAAGTATTAGCCATATGATAGTATAAATTATAATCGTAAGTTAATGAAAGATACTTTTAACTATCTGTATGTAGTCAATACACTCGTGGTAAGTATACTAATATTTTTATTAAGGAAGAGTATATATAACAAAGTTATTTATGTCAGCTACAAGTATTGTTCGAGTGTATCGTCCGTGGAATGTCAGTCGCCTAACACTAGTGTTACTGTATATGTGCTTGTTAACGTTTAAATGTTCCGAATTAACTCTTTATCATGAAGCATTAAGCAATAAAATATTTATTAAATATTAAATATTACTATGAAATATACTAACGGCGTCTTCACACAGACTCAGTGACGGATATTCAAAATATATATAGCATTAATGTGGGATGAAGAGTTCAGTGTGAAGATGCCTTACGAATACATTCCGACTTGAGTAGAGTCGCGGGACATTATATAACTATCACTAATATAGGTTTCACTTAAATAAATTTATTGTACCACTCCCTGGTAGTTTTATTTTACATTTAAGTTTAATTAAAGGATAATAAATTCTCCTTAATATGCTAGAAATGAAGAATTGCAAGCATTCCTATAAGAAACGTATAATGAAGTAATCATTGAAAAGGTCGAGTATTCAAAGTAATGTTAATACGTGAAGAAAAACTTATCTATCGAGGGAACTGATACCTAATGAACTATATACAAAATGACGAAAATATTGTGCACGTAGAAGTACGTATACTACTAGGAAATGAGACATGTACTTGTATCTAACTGGCAATATATAATATATTAATATATGGTTTGAATCTCGGAATCGGCTCCAAAGATTTTCATTTAATTTAGTATACATATAGGGGGTTTGGTGGCCGATAAATAGATCTAGCAAGGAATCATTTTTAGAAAAAGTCATTTTATGAAGAAAAAAAGGTGATTAAAATATGACTCTTCCTGACATCTATTGGCGAATAACAATACTACTTTTTGCTAATTGCTTTAACGACACAACAGCAGATCCCGTAGTTAAATAACAGGAAGTCAATGAGTGTTCGTTTTAAAGTTAGGTTAAGAAATTAATTGTTGATTTATATAGTATTGTGTCTTCTTAACGTGTTCACTTAAAAATGCCTAAACGAAATAATAAAAAAAAACAAAACAAATACTAATAAGTCCTAAATACCGAGCAAAGTTCGGTAACCAGGTATTGTATTTATATAATAATTGTGAGAGGACGTTTAGTTATATGATATTTGTTGCTGTTTCACCCAAAAACTTCACGGATTGTGATGAAACTATACGGTTATGTAGATTAGATATCAGAATTAGATACAGTTACATTAATAGAGTTAATTGATTAACAGTATGTAGCATTTTAGTATAAATAGATTGTATAAAGGCGCGGGAAAAAACTAGTACATATTATATGATGCGTCAATTCATGACGACTGCTAGATGTCAAAGTCAAAGGTAATGACGTTTCTATTGTACTACTGAACATGAAATTAAATAATTTAAAACATCGGTCATCTTAAACAATTTACTATATTTTATCTATTTACGTTAACATAATGTACTGTTTGGTTTCAATGCACTTTAATAAATAACTAATAATAATAATAAATGGGTAGCTAGTTGTATTTACGTCATTTTTGTCGATTGTCCGCATCATTAAAAAACTTAAAGCAAATATTTTATCGGCATTTTATTTTTACCCAACAAGAAACAAGCATATTTATTATGTAATATTATTTAGTTTAAAATATATTTAGAGAATATTTGTCACATTTATTCTGGGTAAAGACAAATTATAACATCCAGGAATAGGTAACTTTTGAGAAATATTTACCTAAAAAAAAAATTGAATAATTACATACATATATCATATATGTCTTATAAAAAATAAAAAAAATGATAAATATTATTAATTATTATAATCAAATAAAATATCTGATTATCGTGGATCGAATAAGGTTCCTTGCTATACAAATTTAAAATTTATCATTTCTTCAAATTGATATAAGAAATAAATTATTATTACTTAATTAACAAATCATGTAGACTACAGTAACAGAGCATTAGAGCAATTTCATAACTTCAAATATACAGTCACCAATAAATTTTGGAGATACAATATTAAAGGTAATCCTGACAAAAGAATTTACTTGTAATATATTCTTTTCGTTTATATATCCAGATGAGCTATTGACAAAAGAAAATTATGTTAAACGATAATTTTATTTTAAATCATTTTTTTATTTAACAGCGGTATTATATGAAGTTAAGGTTTTAGGATTTTGTTTCTGACACTCTCATCTTAACTCATCACAACTTGTTAGCTGCAAAGGAACCGAAACGTCAGAACTATGTTGTTAAATAATAAAAAACGTGTACAAATTTTCTGAAATCTTAGTTTCTTTTAAATGATTACACTCAAAAATCCTAGATATCATTACGTATTATATTGTTCTGGGACAAAAAAGATGTCAATATAGTTGATATCTGATTTTAAAAACCTTTTTCGTAAAATGACCCCTTAATGTAATAATTCTTATAATATCTTTATGTTGACGATACAAAAGATTTTGTCAGTGATTAATGATTAATTAGCCTTTAATTCTTCTTTGTTTTTATTTACCAACGATCGACACGTTGAGCGGCACTGGTTGAAATAATTTCAGGTAATTAAATGCTTCGATTTGATTGGATTCTTCCAGAAAGTATAAAATATAAAAAGTAACGAAAAACGAAAACGAAAGCTTTCATGACTTTAAATGTATTCATTCAGTTAAAGTTCAAAGTGAATCCCTATAACATCAAATAAAAATAAGTTTAAATATATATTGTTACATTCAAATAACACTCAAATGGAGATATTTAACAAAAAAAATTAAATATTATAATTTGTTACTTTAGAACAAATATTATTTTAGTATCAACTAGCACCTGTAGTGTTTGTTAATATTTCAACAATAAATTAATTCCTATGAAAGGAGTTCACGACATTTATAATCTATACTAATATTATAAAGCTAAAGAGTTTGTTTGTTTGTTTGAAAGCGCTAATCTCCGAAACTACTGGTTCGAATTGAATAATTCTATTTGTGTTGGATAGTCCAGTTATCGAGGAAGGCTGTGGGCTATATAACATCACGCTACGACCAATAGGAGCAAAGATATAGTGGTAAATGTGTAAAAAACGGGAGAAATTATTTCATCTATGAAGCCTTCCGTTGCGTGCGCCGTGAAAACGGTTCAAGATACACAAAAAATATATATTAAAGAATAATAGCTTTTTTAATAATCTAAAAAACAGCATGCGACAGTATATGTCTATCTTTTAAGATTAACTCACGAAAACCGTT